GCACATAGTCAGTGCGCTCGAAATGATTTCCAGCGGGAAAATTAGGCTTGTATTCCCCGCCGACCATTCTGAGAAGCTTCTCGACAGTGTTGGTCTAGGAGAGAGGGGCAAAGAAAGGAAGTCATCATGATTATCTCGTCCATTTGGCTGGCATTCATATGCCAAGTCGGCTAAGCTTAGCCAGCATTGGTCTGTCCAATCGAACCAGCGACTCGAATGGCATCGATTTGCCTGAGCCAGTATGAAGAGCGATGTACTGGAAACACTAGGCTGCGTACTCACATTGTCGATGGCTCGCTGCGTTGTCAGCATTTCGCCCTTGAAAGCTGCCTCGTGTGTTTGCTTGCAGAGGTCGAGGATCGCCTCCCTTTCGGGCGAGGGAGTCAGGCCCTCAACCGCCTTAAGGACGTCCCTGAACTTGGGCGTGGGATTGTACAAAGGGTGAACCATGTTCGCCGAGTCCAGGTCGAGGGGTCAAGGGGAGTCCGATTGTTGACGTCGAGAGCAAAGAGTCCAGAGGCGATGACCTGAATGCATGTTCTGCTCAGCAGCAAAAGCATGCAATCACGAATGCGCAGTCGCCACATGGCTTCTGACATATCGGCACGCCGCTCACAGCCATTCAAATTGCTACCTTGAAGCTCACGTGGCTGCGCTCAGTGACCGCTCACAGCTCACGTGAGTCAAGGTCAAAAGTGCTGTGAGAGGCTTTCCTGCATGTGCTACCGCGCACGAGCGAGCGTTTGTGGGCCTCGCACACACACAGATCAACCCGATGATCTTCTGCTTGAAGCACGAAGCATGTCCCGCCTTGTGTCGCGCTTATGCTCTACAGAGATGATGTTGTTCATAGGCAAGATGAAGTCACTGCATATGTACATTGTTATGCATGGGGCGCGCTCGCGACACTTGTGATCTCCACTTCCATCGTCCCGATTGGTTCACTCAACCCATCTCATGCTCACGAAGTGAATGCCTCATTCGAGCAGGCGTAGCGCAAGACGACGCTCATGTAGCTCATTACCGTCCTTTACACAAAATGACCTATCCTCTTCCCAGTGAGCCAGGATAGCGCAGATGTACGATTTGCTACTGTGGTTGCCCAGCAACCTTCGCTCTCGGTCAGATGGTGCTCGACGCCAGAGTGATTCACTCACGTAGGCCGACACACCTCAGCACCACGATTGTGTCCGCCTTCGCCTTACTCCGAAGGATTACCAACCTCGACACCGACTTTCATCGTTCCGGCTGAGTTCATGACCTCGCAGCGTCGGTCTTTGCGATTACAGCTCGAGCTGTGTTCGTGCGGCAGACGACCAGAATCCTACACTCAAGGTCAAGAAGCTCGACCTCCCTGTCTCACGTCTTGAGACTACCCCGGCAAGAGACGCGTTGCAAGCCACGGGATTTCCTGGGCCACGTATTGGGCCTCCCGATGCTGCAGCTCCGTGGGTACACAATGCTGTGCGTGTAAGTTGCTGAAGACTCATTTGGCTTTTCTCTGGAGCAGCTCCCTTCACGCTGATCGTTCCTCTCTTCTGCGCTCCCTTTGACTCTTGCAGAATGTCACTCAGAGGTGCGCACAGACTTCTCGTACGAGCACTAGCCTTGGTCATTTGCTGCGGGGTAGCTGACCGAGCGCGCACCTCTACTCTTGATACTTTGACTTCCTTTCGCCTTGCGCATACATGCACTTTGATCTGCACGACATCCTCTGGCCTTGCCACAGGGACGCGTTCATTCATTCAACTACCCTTCCTTTGTTCCAGCATGCGACTACCGCCCTCCGCCTCAAGCATGCTGCGCACATTGCCTTGTTTCCATGAAGCAAGGTGCGCGATTCCAATCCCGGCCATCGTCCGCTGGCTCTTGATGCGACACCTTACATCTCCAACTTTGTCCCACCAACTTCCATCCAAGGCGCTTTGTTCAGCTATGGCCAGCGAGCTTGGTCCACTCTCAACGCCAGGCTAGCGGAACAAAGCTCATGTTGCGGCCGCAGCTAGCAGCAAAACACCGCAGCGTCGCTCTCAGCGAGGACTAAGCAATACTTCTGCATTGATTGCTCTTTCGTTCTCGATTTCGGGGCAAAGAAGAATCTCTGGATTGGCCAGTCCCTTCTTTATTCAGGCTCGTGTGGTGCTGTACTCTGCCACTGTCGGGGTTGCATTTCGGTGAGTGCCATGGACTCACGAACGCAGCTTAGGCATGCTGCCTGCGCGAGAATTCTGCTCATGCACCTTGTAGACTTCTACATACGCAGCAACTCGCGGAAGCCCGGGCCTCCACATGCGGGCAGTCTGACCTGCCACTGCACGCTGCCCAGCTCACGGTGCCGCCGGGCAGGGTCATTTCCGACCTGCTGCATATGCGAAGCTAGTCTCTGCAGCGGCCGAGAAGAAGCCCGGAGCCGGAACAGTCGAGATAATCAAGGCACAAACATCGAACACCGAGGCTGGACAATGCCAGCGACTCAAAGATAGAGGCATGCTGTCAATTCCTGCGTGTTGAAGACTGAGTCTTCTGTATTGGGCCGCGGTCGAGATGATCGCCATTCAATAGGGCGATGAGAGTCGGCGGGCAAGCGAGACTAATACAGACATCCGAAGGCACGACCCGCGATAGATCGAGGAGCCGCGACCAAGGCTTGCTTGACATGGCCCTTCAACCCAGCTTAAAAACCTCTCGCGATAATCTCCTGCTCCGAACAAAGCTCGCCACTTGCTCTGACAGCTTTGCCTGTAGACAACCAGCACCTCGATGACAGTTCAGGTTCGGCACGCGTAAGTGGACAAAGGCGATTGCATTTCTGTCCGAGTTTGCTTCGGTATCTGCATTGAGCATGGTCACTTCCTCAATCCGGAAAGTTCACAGTCGCAGCGCAGGGCAGGTTCATGTACATGCTAGTGTCTAGTGGGCCGTGGCGGAAGTCAGAGCGCCGCAATGCTCCTTCACAAAGTAGAGAAGGAATCGGCGGCGGTTGCAAAGCCGGGGAACAGCATTCGAGGTAGAGACCAAAGTCAGGAACGCAGCGATCCACCCATCACGCAATCGGCAAGTACGAAGCAAGCTGCAAGGGAGAGCTGCTCGGCCATGTCGACTTTGGAAAGCGATCGCAAAAGCGCGACAAAGGCGCGGAGGGATGCACACAAGCTGGTATCTTTCGCAATGTGTAGCTGCATTCCAGCACGATAGCAGTGTTTGAGCGTCAGGTAGCGGGAGTCAAGCCCATGTTGGACTGCGCGAGATGTGTCAGACCTAGTGAACAGTCCTGAAGCGATCCGTAAGAAGTCGAGACGGAGTGGGACAACCCAGCGATCCTCCTGGAGCGAATCGTAGATGGGCTGGCAGGCGGAGAGGTGGACCAAATCTGACGAGCCAGAAAGATACTAGCTGGGCTGCGTTCTGCAACGTGCGGTATACGTGCAGCATAACGATAACAGCACAGCATAACGATAAAGTCAGCCTCGGATTTTGAAGCTGCGCCGATACAGCTTTACAGACAGCAGCGAATGCCGCGTCGGTGCCTAGCGATCACGAGGATGTAACACTGCGTTTACGATCGCCGAATCGCTTGAGGGCAGTGCGCTGCACCATAGATGCACCTGAGCGAGAGGCCAATGTCGAGGAGCCATGCACGTGAATGAATGGGACTGACCACTTGCAATACGATCCTCTTGGCGACAACGACGCAAAGGAGCGACAGTGTGACCTTGTGTATCGAATGTGCGCTCGTCCCTGAGACCAGATCGAGCATACCGGAGCATACCGTGACAAAGATCGTCTTTTGTTGTGGACCAAAGTCGCGTTTCGCTGGAGTCTTAGGCTAGTCTGGTGCGCAAGGGGCGGCTGCCGAAGATGTCGGACCCGGATAGTCAGAAGCGGAGCCAGGCAATTCGTGGGCTACAATTTGCGTAGAATATCTAGCAAAAGCGCACATTCAGGAGCGAAACGCTTCGCGGGTCGTGCAAGTCTCTCTAGTTGACGTTGCGAAGCCGGCTTGGGAATGTGCATTTTCCTCTACACCAGCGAGCAGAGCTCCTATGAGCAGTGTTTGACTGCGGGCGACATCTTCTACGCCAGTCTCCAGCTCGCTCAACTGGGCAATTGTCGCATTGCTTCATTTTACTCGGCGGCGAGCGAAGCAGACCTGCAAATGATTCGATGAACCTCTAAAGCAACCCAAATCACTCCTCTACTTGTTCAACCTACGGTATGCTAACGGTTCGTTCTGGTCCAACGCGCTAGTGAGCAACTTCGCAGTGGGCATGCTCGCCAATTATGAGGTATTCATGAGGTCGGTCCGATGCACAGATCCTTATGTTTTGGCCTAAAAGCTTGAAGAGAGTGCGACTTTGCGCAAAAAGCGATTGAGCTCCATCGGTCGTCCAGTAGTATGGGGCAGCGCGCAGGGTGTCAAGCCCGCTGGAGAGTCTGATCTTGGAATGCTTCGAGCGCATCGCGCCCGCGAAGCAGCGTGCCCTATGCCACGTTCCCGGCTTTCGATCGCGTTCCGCGGCACGGTGGTACCTGATGTGTGTTAGTGGAGCTTACTGCAGGTCGTGCGCGTGAGTAGCGAGGCCAGATGATGTCAAGCGTTTTACCAAAGAATGCTCCAAAGAAGGGAGTCTCGCCAAGCCCTGAGAAAATGTGCAGAGCTCTAACGGCAGTCGTTTCACTTGCTGGCTGGATC